TGGTATGCAGCTTCCTTTACTCTATGGTTCCTGAGAAGTTACAAAAGGGGCTGCAGACCACATGCTTTTATTATCTCTCCTTTTGACAATGTGACCTGTTGGTAGCTGTTTTGTTACAAGAGAGATGTGCTGGTTGGATAGCACAGGGAACTATATCAAAGTTTGGGTTGCTGTGAATTTTCCGGGCTGTCTGCCCATGTTCCAGAAGCATTCTCTCCTGACATTTCGCCACATCTATGGCAGGCATCTTCAGAGGCCACGTGGTTTGTTTGAAACAAGACAAGTGGGGTTTATATATATGTGGAATGTGTCCAGGGTGGGAGAAAGAACTCTTGTCTCTTTGAGGCAAGTGTGAATGCTGCAATTGATTAGCATTGAAAAGCTTTGCAGCTTCAAGGCGTGGCTAATTCCTGTCTGGGGGAATCCTTTGTTGGGAGGCAATTAGCTGCCCCTGATTGTTTCTTTTCTGGAAATCCCATTTTTAGTGTTATTCTTTCAGTGTTGTTCTTTCAGGGCCAGCTAACAAAGGATCGCCCCCAGGCAGGAAGCAGCCAAGCGTTGATGCTGCAAGGCCATTCAATCATAATTAAGGTGATCAATTAAGGCATTCAGACTTGCCACAAACGGATAAGAGTTCTTACTATAACCCTGGGCATTATTCCACAGATATATAAACCCCACTTGTCTAGTTTCCAAAAGAAACCTTAACCTCTGAGGATACCTGCCATAAATGTGGGTGAAATGTCAGGAGATAATGCTCCTGCAACATGGCCAGTCAGCCCAGAAAACTCACAGCAACCCAGTGAGTCCAGCCATGATAGCCTTCAACAACAAATCTCAAAAATATTTTAAACTGAACTAATAAGTTTTTGTACCTGTGTATGCTGAACACATGAAGCTTGTTAGTAAACCAAAAACTGTGGTGCAGCTGGCTGGGAGTCAGCTGCATTAAGATCACTACTGACCGAAAGGTCATGAGTTCGAAGCCAGCCCAGGTCGGAGTGAGTGTCCGATCAATTTGTGTAGCTTGCTGTCGACCTTTGCAGCCCGAAAGACAGTTGCATCTGTCATGTAGGAAATTTAGGTACCGCCTATGTGGGAAGGCTAATATAACTAATTTAAGATGCCATCAAAATCTCCAGCAAGCCTGCAAAGAATGAGGAAGTACTTCATCAGTGTCACAAATGGATGGTGAAGCAACAGCTCCCCTGGTGGCCAGGAATACCCTCATGAAAAGTTGGAATGATAAAGTGTCTCTGTGTCTGTCTATATATGTTGTGTGTCTATGGCATTGAATGTTAGCCATGTATATGTATATTGTAATGTGCCCTGAGTCCTCTGCGAGGTGAGAAGGGCAAAATATAAATACTGTAAATAATAATGATATTAATAATATGCAATTTCCATCAAAGCCTACTTTATTTTTGTCTCGAATGCATGATAGAAAACAAGTTTGCTATTTTAATGTTTTTAGTTTAATATGTAATATGATGTTTTTAATGACTGTTTGTGATATTACTGTTGGAAACCGGCCTGAGTCCCTCGACAGAGGTGAGAAGACCGGTATACAAATGCCAGTCTTCCCATTCATCACAGAATAAATAATAAGTTTTTCGGGAACTGAAAAACACTCCTGATCGGAAATATCAGGTTATTCAGTCTAACAACTGAAACCATTGCCTTGCATAATTATATCTGATTGTATATCACAAGAGAAGATTCTAATCTAAAGCGGTGTTTCTCAACCTGGGGGTTGGGACCCCTGGAAGGGTCGCGAGAAGGTGTCCGAGGGGTCGCCGAAGACCATCAGAAAACACCATATTTTCTCTTGGTCATCTGGGTTACATGTGGAAAGTTAGGTCCAATTCTATTGTTGGTGGGGTTCAGAATGTTCTTTGATTGTAGGTGAACTATAAATCCCATCAACTACAACTCCCAAATGCCAAGGTCTATTTCCCCCAAACTCCACTAGTGTTCACATTTGGGCATATTGAGTATTTGTGCCAAATTTGGTCCTGATCCATCATTGATTGAGTCCACAGATGTAGATGAACTACAACTCCCAAACTCAAGACTCATGCCCACCAAAGCCTGCTAGTGTTTTCTGATGGTCATGGGAGTTCTGTGTGCCAAGATTGGTTCAGTTCCATCGTTGGTGAAGATCAGAATGCTCTTTGATTGTAGGCGAACTATAAATCCCAGCAAGTACAACTCTCAAATGATAAAACCATTCCCTCCCCCTAACCCCACTAGTATTCAAATTTGGGCATATTGGGTATTTGTGGCAAATGTGGTCCCGTGAATGGAAATACATCCTGCATATCGGATATTTACATTACGATTCATAACAGTAGCAAAATTGCATTTATGAAGTCACAATTAAAATAATTTTATGGTTGGGGGTCACCAAAACATGAGGAACTGTATTAAGGGGTCGCGGCATTAGGAAGGTTGAGAACCAGTGTCTAAAGGGTTTTCGGCTGTCCTCCGAAAAGTCATGCTTTTCTTTAAAAAGTTATGCTTTCCAAAAGGTGTTTTTGCAAAAGGTTATGAATGTCATTTTCCAAAAGGCTAGTTATTGCCAAGGCAGACTCACCTTTCCGAGGATGGCGTCGGGCAAGCCGGACTGCTTGAGGAAGAGGGCGGCATCGCTGGCCCCGACTCTCCCTGTTCCAGATGGATCCACCTGCAAAACAAGCAGCGTCAGCAGCTGCTGAACCCCAAAACACGGCCTTCACCCAACCCCAGGTGAGCCTCGCCCTCTCACTTGCCTGTTTGTAAAACGTCTCGTAGAGAGGAGTCCCGGAGGCGAGCTGAGTGAGAAAAACAAACAGAGAGAGGAAAGGTGAGACCCAGTGTCCAATGCCAGTCTTCCCATTCATCACAGAATAATAATAATAATAATAATAATAATAATAATAATAATAATAATAATAATGTATTATTATTTGATACCCCGCCTCCATCTCCCCAATGGGGACTCAGGGCGGCTTACTCGAGGCCAAGCCCAAATGACAATTACAAGAAAGAAAAACCAAAAAACACAAACCGAAAATACGAACAACAAAACAATAACATCACAGTTACATAAAACACATGAATACATAGCAATATGAAAAATAAAGAATATGCACAGGCACAATAATAATGGGCCGGCAACATGTAATGATAATAATAATTTATTTATTTATTTATTTACTTTGCTTGTATCTCAGTTTCTCAGCCCGTAGGCGACTCAACGCGGTTCACAACAAGAGCAAAAAAGTCAATCGTACAACATACAATATTTAAAAACCGTTAACAGCCTAGTATACAAATAATGACACATTAATAACAACACATTAGCATCTCGTAACTAAAATCGTGATCCAATTCGTCATCCATACATCCGTTCCTATATTCATCGTTCAATTGCACTATTTATCTGAACGCCTGTTCAAACAGCCAGGTTTTTAGTTTTCTTCGAAACACGATTAACGAAGGGGCTGATCTAATGTCCATGGGAAGGGCGTTCCACAGCTGAGGGGCCACCACAGAGAAGGCCCTGTCCCTCGTCCCCACCAGCCATGCTTGCGATGCAGGCGGGATCGAGAGCAGGGCCTCCCCAGAAGATCTTAAGAGTCCTGGTGGGTTCATAGGCAGAGATACGCTCGGATAGGTAACTTGGGCCAAAACCGTTTAGGGCTTTATAGGCCAACGCCAGCACTTTGAATTGAGCCCGGTAGCAAATCGGCAGCCAGTGGAGCTGGTGCAGCAGAGGAGTTGTATGCTCCCTGCGCTCCGCTCCTGTTAGTATCATGGCTGCCGAGTGTTGGACTAGTTGGAGCTTCCAAGCCGTCTTCAAAGGCAACCCCACGTAGAGAGCGTTGCAGTAGTCTAAATGGGATGTAACCAGAGCGTGGACTACCGTGGCCAAGTCAGACTTCCCAAGGTACGGGCGCAGCTGGCGCACAAACATAATAATAATAAACCTTTATTTGTACCCCGCTACCATCTCCTGAAGGACTCAGTGCGGCTTACAAGAGGCCGAGCCCAAATACAACAATAAAAACAGCAACAACAACAATGCAATAACTCAAAAAAACAAAGAAATAACATTGACAACACCCAATGACGCAATTCAAAACAATGGCCGGGCCAAATGTAATAATTAAAAATTAAAAGTGCTGGGCATGGCAAGGTGGGGAGTTTGGAGGGGGATGGGCATGCAGATATCCAGAATCTCTGATAAAGTGCGTTGGGACATAATGCTAGGAGTTTCTTTATTCTGGAAAGGCACACTGGAACAACCACGTTTTCAAGCTCCTCCTAAAGATTGCTAGCGATGGGGCCTGCCTGATGTTCTTAGGGAGAGAGTTCCAGAGTCGAGGGGCCACCACCAAGAAAGACCTATCCCTCGTCCCCACCAATCACGCTTGCAATTCCGGTGGGATCGTAAGCAGGGCCTCTCCAGATGAACGAAGAGATCGTGTGGGTTCGTACACAGAGATGCGGTCACGCAGGTAGGCGGGTCCCAAACCGTTTAGGGCTTCGTAGGTAAGCACCTGCACCTTGAATTGGGACCGGAAAATGAATGGCAGCCAGTGGAGCTCCTTAAACAGGAGGGTTGACCTCTCCCTGTAAGGAGCACCAGTTAACAACCTGGCTGCCACTCGTTGGACCAATTGGAATTTCCGGGCCGTTTTCAAGGGCAGCCCCACGTAGAGTGCATTACAGTAGTCCAATCTGGAAGTGACTAAGGCGTGGACCACCCTGGCCAGATCCGCCTTCACGAGGTATGGTCGCAGTTGGCGCACGAGTCTTAATTGTGCAAAGGCCCTCCCAGCCACCAACAGTGATGAGTCCAGGTCCAAACTGCGGACCTGTGACTTCAGGGGGAGTGTAACCCCGTCCAGCACAGGTTGCCACCCTATACCCCGATTCGGTTTACGATCGACCAGGAGGACCTCTGTCTTGTCGGGATTGATCTTCAGCTTGTTCTTCCTCATCCAGACAGCCACAGCGGTCAGACACTCGTCCAGCATGCGAGGGGCTTCCTTGGAGTTTGGTGGAAAAGAGTAGTAGAGTTGCGTGTCATCTGCGTAGAGATGGCAACCGACTCCAAAACTCCGGATGATCTCTCCCAGTGGTTTCATGTAGATGTTGAAGAGCATGGGAGACAGAATGGAACCTTGCGGGACCCCACAGGTCAAAGGCCATGTAGTAATTAAAAGGACAAACTGATTAAAACTAATTAAAAGCTCGGGCGAGATAAAAGAGGGAAGCAGGTAATTTACGGAGGAGGGCTCATTCCAGCGGGAGTTGTGGAAGCAAGCTTTCCCATGAGGGGGGACGTATACTCCAATGACAGAACTTGGAGACAGAGCAATCATGTGGGATTATATACCTACTCATCAAAGGTGCAGCGTAAGAGCCGGGTTTTAAGGTTCTTTTTGAAGATTTCTAGAGAAGGGGCTTTCCTAATTTTTCCAGGCAGTGAGTTCCAGATTAGGGGAGCCACAGCGGAAAAGGCTGTCTCCCTTGTACTCACTAGGCGAGCTTGAGAGACTGTCAGGGGCGAGAGAAGGGCCTCCCCGGAAGATTGGAGGGCCCGAGATGGTTCACGGTGGGAGATACAGTCACAAATGTAGGCGGGTCCCAAACCGTTTAGGGCTTTGTAGGTGATAACCTGCACCTTGAATTGGGACCGGAAAATAAACAGCAGCCAGTGGAGCTGAACAAAAATGAACAACATTTGGCTCCCAGTATTAAAAAAAACTCTAAAATCATAACAGTAAATAAAGAACAACACTCAAAAACAGGGGAACTCCAGACAAGAAGCAATCAGGGACAGATAATCACCTCGCAACAAAGGATTCCCCCAGGCAGTAACAAGCCAATCAAGGTGGCCAATTGAAACATTCACATCATCCTCAAACAAACAAGTTTTTTCTCCCACCCTGGGCATTATTCCACAGATATATATATATAAACCCCATTTTCCTGGTTTCCAACAGACCTTACAACCTCTGAGGATGACTGCCTTAAATGTGGGCAAAACATCAGGAGAGAATGCTTCTGGAACATGGCCAGACAGCCCAAAAAACTTACAACCCAGATTTTTGGAGTCGATTTTGTCATGTGGTGGCAAAAAAAAAGCCAATGGGATTTTGGCCTGGATAAATAGGAATCTAGTGCCAAGATCCAGGGTAGTCATGCTACCCCTCTATTCTGCCTTAGTCAGACCACACCTGGAATCACACAGTGTCCGATTCCGGACACTGCAATTGAAGGGAGATGTTGGAAGAGACCTGGTTGGCCATCTAGTCCAACCCCATTCTGTCACGAAGCAGGAAAATCACATTCAAAGCACCCCCGTCAGATGGCCACCCAGCCTCTGTTTAAAAGCTTCCAAAAAAGGAGCCTCTATCACACTCCGGGGCAGAGAGTTCCACAGCTGAACAGCTTTCTCTCACAGTCAGGAAGTTCTTCCTCATGTTCAGGAAGAATCTCCTTTCTATCCTGTGTTTTGAAGCCATTTTTCTGCGTCCTAGTCTCCAGGACAGCAGAAAGCAAACCTGCCCCCTCCTCCCTATGACTTCCCCTCCCTTCTTGATCCATGGCCCTCATCATGTCTCCTTCCGCCTTCTCTTCTGGAGGTTAAACAAACCCAGCTCTTTAAGCCACTCCTCATAGGGGTGTTTTTCCAGACCCTTGATCATTTTAATTGCACACTTCCTCTGGATACATTCCAGCTTAGACATGACATCTCCCTTCACTTGTGGTGCCCAGAATTGGACACAGTGGGATTCCAGGGAACATGGTCTGACCAAGGCAGAAAAGAATAGAGCATGGGGAACATGCTTTCCCTGGATCTAGGTACTAGGCTCCTATTTATGCAGGCCAAAATCCCATTGGCTTTTTTGCTGCATGACATTGTCGGCTCATGTTTAACTTGTAGTCCATACCTACTTTGGGTCTCCTTGTGGAGAGAAAAATAAACATAATAATAATAATAATAATAATGAATATTCTAATACTAATAATGGATGCATAGCCACGGAGGTCCCATCAACACTGCCATATAAAATCCAGATTATCTGCTTTGACACTGGACTATATGGCAGTGTAGACTAATATAATCCAGTTCAAAGCAGATGATCTGGAGTGGGATTATTGTTTCCATTTGATGTTTGATGTTTTGTCTTAGGTCTGTTATAACAGGCTGTGCTTTTTATTTAATTTTAGTTTGTTAAGTTATAATTCGTATTTATATGTTGGGTTGTATAAATTTTCTTAGTATGGATGTATTGTTGTTGTAATCGGACATGGTATGTTTGCCTTTTATGTCTGCAATCCGCCCTGAGTCCCTTTGGGGAGATAGAGCAAAATATAAATAAAGTATTATTATTATTATTACTATTATATCCTGGAATATAGGCCAGTGTAGTATCACCCCCGTTGGCACAGCGGGTTAACCTGCTGAGCTGCTGAACTTGCTGACCAAAAGGTTGGTGGTTTGAATCTGGGAAGCAGGGTGAGCTCCAGCTGTTAGGGCCAGCTTCTGCTAACATAGTTCGAAAACATGCAAATGTGAGTACTTCAATGGCACTCCATGCAGTCATGCTGGCCACATGACCTTGGAGGTGTCTATGGACAACGCCGGCTCTTCGGCTCAGAAAAGAAGATGAGCACCAACCACCAGAGTTGGACTTGACTATTTATATGGGTTGTATAAATTTTGTTAGTATGGATGTACTGTTGTTGTATTTG